AATTTGCAGTAACAATTTTGAATATTCCAACACATACAGAACATATGTATAAATTATAGATAAAATGAAACCAATTTTAATCATTAAAGCTTTGATAGTATTTTATTTTTATTTTAGTTGCTGCTGCGTGCTTAATAAAAAAAATTACTGTTTACAAATGCATGGTAATAGTAATTTATTTTTATTATTAAAAAAGCTGAACTTCATCGTTATCATTATTGATTCTGCTTTAATTTTGACGTAAGCTACATTTTTTTTATGGTGATACTAGGACGCTGAAAAAAGTAAAATTAAAATAATATGAGCAAAAGTATGAACCAGAATGAACCCAAAATGTATAGAAATCGATTGAATACAAGAGGAATGAGACTTTGGGTTTTCAAATTAGTTTGTTATTTACTCAGGCGGTAGAGTTAATTTGGCAAATTAATACGGTTATGACTTATTTGCCATAATTACTTTGACATAATGCTGTAGTATCTAAATATTATAATGCAGTAATGTGTTAAAATACTGTAATGTTGCAATAACATAGGATAATATTCCGCTAGTGTTTATTGTTTAAAGTAATTTTTAGAATTAGGATAATGCACAGTAAATTTACTGGTATAATCATTGATCATCAAAGTTCGTAGCGAAAGATCTTAATTTTTTTTTTCTATCTGGTCAAGTTATTTCTTACAGCTGGAAGTAAAGTTGACTTTCAGATTATCCTAAAATAAAAAGACCTGTTTTTGGTTCTAAAGATGTTTAAATTGCCCTAAATTATCTATATTTTTACTAATGCGAAAGCATTAACGATTGACGTAAATGCTCAAGCTGCAGATTAGGGGTTTGCAACCTGGGCTCGCGCCTGTGCTCAACAAAAAATCTAGGCATGAGCACAGGCACAGAAATTGGATATTTATTATTTAATTGTGTCTGGCACTTGTGCCTATGCCTTTAATAATGCCTGGCACTTTTGTGCCTATAGGCACAGGCACGGCATAAGGCACTAATGCCCGGCCTGGTACCATTGTGCCGGGCATGGGCATTTGCAGACCCCTACTGCAGATCTACAACGTAGTTATTATATTCATGATTAAATTGGTAACAGTAACGGTAAAGCAATTTCAGTCATGGGTAATGATGGAATAATTATGATTGGTCATTAATTTAAAGAAATCGGTGTTAAAGCGTTCAAATATTATCAAAAATCTGATAGTAATTTAATTTTAAATTTTAACAAAGATGAGATAATTATCTAGCTATAATTTGATTTTTATTTTAATTCCACTAATATCGATACAAGAAATTAATAAATAAGTATTCGCACATATTAGATTGGATATTGTGTGAAGAACCAGGTATTGTATTTAGAGTATATATTATATTAAAATTTATAAATCAATATACATAGTTATATCTCCGGATCTTATTTAAGAAGCAGTTGGTAAGGATAGTGAATAATACCCAAATATTAATCATGGGGCATTATTTTTGGTAATACTGTAAGCAGCGGCCAACAATAACCAAAGAACCATCCATTTCCATTGATCTCTAATTCGTCACTTCCCCCATGGTCCACCTATTTTCGCTGATTCAAATGTTTGCTGCAATATCGATATTGAATGATAATTATTTCATTTCAAACCATCAATCGAGGTAATACCCTTTTTGGTACGTTACAGCTTTGAGTATTGGGTATAGTACAGTATATTTCTAAAATACATATATGTACCTAGTAATTTTTGTGTACCTAGCAGGTATACAATATAAGAATATATATATAATATTAAGATTGTATTTATATTTAATTATTTTTAAATATGTTTAATGTTTTAATTTAAAATAATTATTTCAGTTTTACTAAATCACACCAACATCACAATCGCTATATCTCAAAAGCTAGCTGAGTAATTAATGTCGGATATCTAATAAAAATATTCAGCAGCTAACCCTAAATTTTACTAGCAAAACTATTAAAAATATATGTGTTGTTTACTGAACACCAGAGGTGTTATTTAGGGTTATTGGTATTTAATTACATTATATTAATATTATATTTAAAACATATTAATTTATATATAAAATCGTATACCAGTAATTATTCATAATTATACTGATGCAATCATATGAATGACGCCAAGGGAAAAGGGATACTTTGATCTATCGGTTTATCATGTCTGGCTTTCAATTTTAGTGTATTACAGCAAATAAAAATTGTGTAATGTATTGTTGATCAATTTTTGCAGGAGCTCTGTATTATGCTAAAATTGAAAGCCCGTTTAGACAGACATGATAAACCGATAGATAGGGATGGCAAATGATTTAAATCACAATGTTTTAAATCAATAAAATATTGTTCTAAAATGATTTTTTTTATGATTTAAATCATCGTCATTGATATTGATTAATCATGTAACCATATTAGTATGATTAATCATGTAACCATATTAGTATTATTAATTAATCTGATGCAGTAATTTTAGCTGCAGCCATCAGTACTATAATCACCAAACCATTTTATTAAATCAAGTTAAAAATCAAAAAATCATTAAAAATCGATTTTTTACCATCCCTAGTTACATTAGGTGACGTGCAATTTTTAAGTTAAGTTTAACAGAAAAAATTCGCGATCAAGTGATTTTTGATCGTTCTGATATACAGTTGATACTGTCTAATTGCATATACTCTCTAAATGCATAAAAAAGTTTGATTTTTTAATTATTAACGCAAAAATGGTTCTTAAGACTTTAAATACATATATTGTCTATATGCATAAAAAAATCTTAGACAGTACCGACTGTAATATTAACACAAAAATTTATGCAATTTAGACATACGTAGTACTTTATTATTAAAGTTTGTTGATCATTGATTAGATCACTATCATCTGATCGCGAATTTTTCTGCCACCAACTCCGATCACTTGGCCTTGTAATGAGTTACAAAGGACCAAATGATCTGCAAATTTGACCATTAAAAGTCAATTAAAATTATCAATTAATAACAAAATAATTCAAAATTCTTTCACTATACCATGTAGAGCGCAGCATAAATACCCGGTGTGACCCAATTTTTAAATAGCAAAAAATTAAAAATCGCATGTATTACAATTTTGGCGGCGAATATCGATATATGATACGTAAGCTAATTACATAAAAATTGACTGCGCCACAATCAATTAATTGTGTTCAAAAAATTGCAGCTAATTGCCCCACAGTCATTATTCAGTAGGCCGGTCCATATCACTACGTTTCGGACAATAATTATTGCAAGATTATTTAGAACGATAACGATATTTTTAGGTGTTTTTTTTTTATTTTATTTTTTTTTTCTTATTTATAGAATTAAAGTTGATGTGCGCAGCATAAAGAAATTTAAGACAAAAAAGTCTACTAATATTGAGTAATTTCATAGACATGATAACGATAAGGTTGAAGGTATAAAAAAAAATTCCTTATTTATTATAACAATAATACATAAGATAATAACTTGATATAGATACATCTAGAAAAAGAAATTTTGAAAAAGAGATATATCTCGGAAATATCGCCTTTTTTTTAAAAAAAAATATTTATTATTTTTTTTTTTGGTACATATTATACAGGTAGTCTTACTGAATATATGTCAAGATATATTTAAATAGAAGTCTAAAATAAAATTCGGATTTAAAAAGTATAAATGTTAAATGTAGTGTTCCTAAAATGTTAAGGGTATTGCTCATATGATTATCTTTTTTAGTGCATTTATAATGATTTATAATAATAGGCATGCACATAAATTGACAGAATGCTATGAATAACTCAGAGATGTTTTATTTCCATAAATTGATTCAAAGGCACATATTCATATTATCCATGTACATATGATCACTATGAGAATACTAAACAGAGGAGTTAAGATATGTGATATGAATCTCTACCATTTTACGATTATTCTACTTATTATTTAAATGTCGGAATAATTATACCGATATTGGGTACATATTACATACTAAATTACAAACTTTATTTTATAACGATAGCATTAGACTATGCAAATTGAAATCATAGTACACTTCTCCACGTGCGATTCTGACTGCATTTTTTCAATCATATCGCATCTAAGGAGACCATCTAGGTAACTTTTATCATACTTAATACGTCATTAAGTATTTGTGACGTTCCTCCCTGCAAACCTAGAAAGGAATTACTGTACCATTCAACAAGCAATTGAAGTATGTATACGTACATACGTAGTGTACGTGCGCACGACGTACTGGAATTGTGTGATTTTTTATTTTTTTTTTGCGTTAAACTATTTTTATCAAATGCACTTCACTGTTAATGTATATTGTATAACGGTGCATAAACAGAGAAATACGAATTCTCATTTTTATTCGCAGAGAAAATTTATTGCATGAATGATTATATAATATGAGGTACGTTTTTTGTATCATATTTTGGTAAGTGTTTTTAGGAGTTATCCTTGCAATATGTAAAATATTCCCCCCGAAATTATTATAAACGCTAAAAATAGTAAAATTAATTTCGAATAACCATTTGTGATCAGTGTAATTTATTATCGTTACTATCCGTTTTTTTTTTAATAAAAATAATTTAAAAAAAAGCATTGATTCTATTTATTTTGATGATCTATTTTCTTTTTTATGTTAAACATTTAAATAAGGGACCGGATTCGCCCGGAGCTGAATTTAGATAATATTTTGATAAGGTTTCATTGTTCAACTTTAAATTATGTAAACCATGATAAACTGTACAACTTTTGTGTGATTATTCGTTTTTATGTATAAAGTATATAAATACGTATATACTTTGACTTGTATGCACGTAAATTATCACTAGCAATATAATATATATGGGATGTCGCTTTATACATAATTATCTTACAAATATATAAATATAGCTATTGAAAATAGAAAAGAAGGGGCTCTCAATGGTTCAATGAACTAATAACTTATAAAAATTCTTTCATTTTAACAAAATATCTTTCCATTCAAAATATACAAAAAGAACATGGATACGTGTAAATTAGAAAAATTCTATCAAAAAGAAGATCAAGATCATGATGTAATAATTTTTGTTGGTGATCCTCCAAACGTTATTTCATTTTCTTTGCATTCTGAAGTGTTAAAACGTAGATCAAAGTATTTTCAAGTTGCTTTGTCAAGCGAGTGGGTGAGAAAACAAGATGGTCGGGTCATGTTAAGTTTACCAACTATCTCTCCGGAGGTCTTTAATTTTTTACTAAAGTAAGCTTTATTTTTATTCTGAAATTTATTTGTTTTTATATTATATAACATTCACCCTTTCTTTCTTTTCTTCTTTCTTTCTTCCTCCTCCCTCCCTTCCTTCCTTCCTTCTTTCCTTCCTTTCTTCCTTCTTTCTTTCTTAATTTACTTAATACTATTAGTCACATATATTCGGAAAAATTAATATTTGAAGGCGCTCCAACTGATGGAAAAAGTTGTTTAAATCGTACGGTTGCTGCTGATGAATTAAGTCTTACTCAATTATCATTACACGAACAAAACTTCTTAATAACTAATCGTTCCGAATGGATACGTAACAATTTTATATTAGTTTATAAAATAATAATAACCTTACCAACTTTAGAGTTATTATGCGACTTTTGTCTAAAAATGCTTTGTCAAGAGCCTTCTCTACTTTTAAACTATAAAACCATTCATTTGGTTGATGAAAAAACTTTATCTGTATTATTAAAAATGGATGCTCTTCAAATGGATGAAATTTCAATTTGGAAAACCGTTGTTCAATGGGGAATTACTAAAGTACCTTATTTGTCTGAATCAAATATTGAGGATTGGACTCAAGACGATTGGGAACTCTTAAAATCTAGTTTGATGAACATTATCCCTTTAATTAGATTCAATCATATTTCAAAAAGAGATCTTTATAAATGCGTTAAACCTTTTTCGGAAATTTTATCAAAAGATATTTTATCCAAAATTCCAACTAATGAATATGATAATTCTAATAATAATAATAATAATAATAATAATAATAATGATGATGATGATGATGAGAAAAATATTGATAATGTTGATATCAAAATTATTATTCCCAAACGTTCTCAACAAATTGATTCAATAATAATTACTGTTTCTCACCTATCTCAAATATCTGATTGGATTAGAGAAAAATCTTGCGGTGAATCTTTACAATCATTTGTCTTCAATTTCTCCTTGATTTTAAGAGCAAGTAGGGATGGTTATTCTCCAAATACTTTTCATCGATGGTGCGATGATTATCCAACATTGACTTTAATTAAACTTAAAGATTCTTGCCAAATTATTGGTGGTTATAATTGCTTTCCTTGGAAATCTCCTATGGTGTTTGCAACCACTCAACATGACGAGCATGCTTTTATTTTTTCTTTATGCGATAAAGATGGTGATAGAGAAAAGGCGAAAGTGGCTAGACCTAAACGAATTAAAAATAAATGCTTTAACAATAAAAGAGGAAGTTTTATGATGACCGCCAAGAACCATTTTACATCACCAGGTCCATCTTTAAAATTTTCAAGATTTTGTGGTCCATGTTTTGGAAAAAGCGATTTACAATTGCAAAATCGTCTTTGCTATTGTAAACAACGTGATTATGATGACAACATTACCGAACAATCTGGGCTTTTCGAAATTGATGATTATGAAATCTTTTGTATTGAAATTTGTCAAAAATAATTATTATTTTGGATGTATGCATTTTTTTAAAAAATTTGTGTTTAGATTAGATTGTTCTTGGTTGCATTAATAGTATTAGGTTTATTATTTCATTATTTGTATAGTCTCTTATCATTGTTCATAGTTAAAATAAAATATTATGTATATGATTTTTTTCTTATTGTACATGATTTTTCATTCATTTATTTTTACCATTCACTGTAGGCTATCTTTATGATTTATCACACAAACATTAATTATCCCATTAATTATTTCATTCCTTTGGATTTTTTTTTTTTTTTTTTAACCAAGTATAGTAGTTTGCTTAACCGCCTTTAGTAATTAAAAAATAAAAGCATGAAATTAATTGGCACGTAGCGCCTTAGATTACAAATCCAAGTTTTATTTAAAAATACATCAATGGATTCCTAAACAGTGTAACTTTATTAGGCAATTCGCAAAAAGTTTACAAAGGAATAGCGAAACAATAATATATTGAGGTACACTAACTGGTGCGTATGTACATACATGTACGTACGTAGAGAATAATCAATAAACTAACATTACATTCAATGTAAGTCATTAAAGTTAGAGTATGTACTTAATAAAAGGCGCAAATTGCTTTGTAATTACACAAAACCTTTCGCGCTTACCGTTATAATTTTTTTGCATTTTTAATCTTTTTTTTTACTTTTACTCTTGTTTCCCTCATATTTTTCGAACTTTAAATCTTAGATTCATCAAACAATTCCATATATAGACTTAACACCCTTAAATTCAGATTTGGGAAATATGAATCAATTATATTACGATATATTTATGTATTGGATTGGCATGAAATACAAATAATAATTTATTAAGTTACATAATACGTAAATTACTATGTCTTGGCAATTTATCAAGTGAAAACGTACTTAGGTACATATGTGACCTAGGGTGTTCTCAAGTGCCTTAGTCAATCGATCGGAATAGGGTCGGGGCAAATTTTAATTAATAAAAAATTGGGTTTC